AATAATAATAAAGCATTAGTGGAATAATGTTGGGAAAACCTAACCATGAAGTGTCTTGTTTTTGGCAGCTCGTCCTCCCTGCTGATTGGCTCCCTCTGCAGCATCCTGGGGTTGCGGACTATCTCCACTTCCTGTACAACGTCACGGCTCCGCTCATACTTCTCAAAGTAACTGTGACGCGCCTCAGGCTCTCCCGCACGACCAACTCCTTCGGTGTTGATTTTCTGAGTTTTAATTGACTTCGCTCCGTCTCAGATGCTCGAACGCAGCCCCTGGATGCTCCCGGGCCTCGCCGTCCGCCTTGGCATCATCGCCGTTTCCATGGGAACCACCCTTCACTTGGCGGCAGACTCCATCACGAGACGCCTGCTGCTGATTGGTTACCAGCTGCACCTGCCTGTTAGAGAGAATCCAATAATGAGGAACCTCAAACCTTCAGCCCTGGTAGGTGCATGACCGATGCATCATCTGCTGTTTGAGAAATAAAACAAATAAATGAATAAAATTGTAAAGATTCGTGTTCATAAAGTTTTTGTGTTTTTCAGGTCGACTTCTTTGAGCTGCTGTTTTACTACGACGACACTGTCGGTCACATGATGTGGTAAGAAGAGAAAAAAGCTGTTGTGTTGTGTTAAGCAATGACAATGACGCCACATGTGGACAAAAATGTATAATTATAATTAAGCACAAGCACAGAAAAATGTTGCAAAACAGACAAAAACAAATGCAGCTTGAAATTCAAAGGAAAAGCCATTTTTAAACAGTCGATGACGTAGAGTGTTTGACATTTATTCTTGTAACGAGGATCCTTTTCCTCCTTAGGTGCGTCCCTTTCTTCCTCGTCCTCGTGCTCTTCTTCAATGGTTGTTTCAGTCGCAGGGAGCAGGAGAGGATGCCACCGTCAGCGTGGATGCTACTCGCTCCAAACGCTGCCTACTACTGGTCAGTCTGCTTTACTACAACGTCCTCTGCACATGCTCTGTCCGTGCTTCAAGTTCAGTCCCTGCAAATCTCTGAGGGAAGAACAAAACTTACTTTTAGGTTTCACTGATACTAATTTAGCTCATAAACAGCATGTGAAGGGCTGGAGGTGGGTTGCAAAGCGGCTTACAGATGTGCAGCAACGTTAATCCGGAGTTTTAGAGAAAAAGAACAACTTGGAATAATAATCGCCAGTTTTGATGAAATGCGTCCGTCTGCCCTGTGAGAGCCAAGACACCGAAAACACATCATTGTCTTTTCATCAACGCTTCGTCATCATCAGGTGACGTCTTCAGTCTCAGCTGACTGCAGCTTTCAACCTTAGAAACAGGACATTTGCATAATGACAGAAACCAGCCCACTGAAGGAACAACGGGCTGTGAGGTCACTTCCTTAATCAATAATACGCAAACTGTCTTGACCACTGATCAATGGCCAGCGTTGTAAGATGGTGACAGATGGACCCTTAGGCCCCTCCTCCATTCAGAGATGGTCTTTCCCTTTTCACAACTCCGCCCTCAAACCTGCGTTCCTCCCTGTCCAAGATGTTACATCCTCATCATTGAAGGCGTGGCCACTGGCCTGTAGGTGTGAATAGACCGCAGAGTCTGCAGGTACATGTTTCAACACCAAGAGGTCACCTGGATGAGTGACGGACCACTGAAAACTGGACGTAGCGTCTTCAGTGCTAGCGTCTTACCTGGATGACTGAGCATCAAGCTGTTATTCTCATCTCAGAGGAACATTAACCACAGAGTTTTCTAATTAAACCCAAAGTAGCTAACAGATGGAGTCACCAAGTGAAGCCTGTGTTGGCTGAAAGTAGTAATTAAAACAATCCAGCAGCAGGTACATAAATCTGCATTTAGTCTGCAGTGAGAGGTTTGTGTACAGTGTGAGAGTCAGACGTGCAGAGGCTCATTCTCCACTTTACTTCAGGACATTTCCATATTTTTTAGACACTCTCGCTCACACAGGCAGGCAGAACAAAGTTAAATTCATTCATAATTAAGAAAATCTAAAGAGCTCAGGGTCAGGTGGCTCCCAGCAGAAACAGAACAACGAACGGAGAAGCTTTGAAGTTACAGAGCATGAAATATTCTCCCAGTGTACAGTCACAGCGGCACACACACATATACACACATACAGTTTAGACGCGTGGACGTGAAAAATATACAGAATGAATTTTGACTAGTGAGTAATAAGTGAGTATAAAATAAAAGCATGTTTTTATTTTTAGTTTAAGACGCCATGTTTGCTTCTGAGTTGGACTGCAGCTGATAAAATAATATTATCATTTTTTAAATACTTGTTTTAATCACAGGTCAGAGCTGAAGTCACAGATATAATCGTGGATATTTTGAGTTTTAATAAAGAAATAGTAAATATCAGTAATCAGAGTAATTATAAGTTAAATCTTCATTATGTTGAATTTCTGACATTTGAAAGCTTTAATCTGCCGGCTGTCCTCCCACCAGGTAACAGCTGAACTCACCTGTAAATAGATCTGAAGAACAACCCGACCACCTGTGTGTGTGTGTGTGTGTGATCACCTCCAGCTGTTAGTAATAATTGATTAGCTGCTTCTCAGGTGTTGCTGACTTCCTGGTTTATGCAGTGAGGACAGAATTCAAGAAACGAGTGAAGGTCGACTCAGACCTTTAAATATCAAACGAGTGTTTTACTTTGTACTTCTGCTGGTTGCAGGTTTTAAACCTCTGCAACTTTTTCAGTTCACTGCTTCAACATAAACACATCAAACAGGTGAATGGCTGTTTCCACACACAAACCTAACATTCATCATTTTTCTGACACAAACAGTGAAAGCCAGTCTGCCTCAGACCTCTGAGCCTGTGTGACACAGTGCGTTCTGCAGCTGGAGAGCAAAAGGTTGCTGGCGGCTGCAGGAAGTTTCAAACGATTCACTGAAACTACGGTGACCAACCGTCCTCTTCTTTGCACTTGTTGACGTGTAAATGCCTACATGACCTTTTTTATGTCACTGTTCATTAACCGTACAGAGAAAGCATAGTTCAAATATGTTTTCTTTTAGCAAACAGTGTCATTGAAGTTCTTCATGACTGGTCCAAGTGTCCTATTTTTGAAAATCAAAAGACGGTCACCCTGCTGAAACACTCACGGGGGAAAACTGCCTGATGTGCACTTATGTCGCACTCCGGTCAGTTAGAATTACTACGGAGTCCCGCAGGGGACATGGGAGAAAAAAAATGAAGACGGACTTTTGCGAGATCTTGCAAAAACTAACTCGGGATCTTGCAAAAGTTTTAGCTGCCACCTGCTCGGTTTACAAGACATCACATATTTGCAAAAGTGCTCCGACGTTTTCGGAGATCTGACACCCACCAGCTCGAAGCCGACCGGGAGGTCGAGGCACGATGTGCCGGGAAAGCGGTGTTCCTCCCGGCTGTAGTAGGTCTCGACCTCCCGTTAGCTTCGAGCTAGTGGGTGTCAGATCTCCGAAAACGTCGGAACCGAGCAGGTATCTGACGTTTACACAACTACATTCACGCCTCAAAATATCTTAAAAGTGTATTTTGTGACCCAGAAAGAGGAATATTACAACTAAGTAGCTGCCGCCATTGTTGGAATTCAAGTTTTGCGAGATCCCGAGTCAGTTTTGCGAGATCTCGCAAAAGTCCGTCTTAATTTTTTCTCTCCCATGTCCCCTGCGGGGCTCCGTAAATTACTCTGAAACTGAGTGGAAAACACATTTTTAACATGACAGGAAGTTTCCTCACACTCAGCTACCAGAAAAACAGCTTCAAAACCGACTGGCTCCTTCCCTGCAATGACCTGCTTGGATTGGTCTGCTTACACCAGTGGACGTTTGCAGGGCGAGTTCACCCACCGGCCACCTGATGGAGCCACTGAGCTGATTGGTTATGCTTCTCTTTGTCCCTGGCGACAGGTATTTAATCACAGAAGGACAGACCTTCATCCTCTTCACCTTCACCTTCTTCGCCATGACCACTACAGTGATGCATCAGAGGAGGCGGGGCTTGTTTCTCAACAGTGACGGGCGTTTCATGTTCTACAGGTAAAAAAGTTTAATGAGCAAACTGGGAAACATAAATAAATAAATAATTATCTTTTCAGGTTTTTAGTCGAGCAACATTAAAGGTTAAGTTGGTACATTGACTCATTCAGACTCTCAGGATCAATAATAGTTAAAACAACATCAGCAGCTGTCCTCCACCCTTTTCTCCTCCATCAGTGGGCCCAAAGCTCCGCTCACACAGGCGGCGACTGTTGAGTGGTTGCTGCCTTCCTATATAAGACGTCCTTTGTTTGACTCTGTGCTGACAGTTTCTCTGCAGCTCTGATCCTGGTGGTGATCTGGGTGGGCTGTCTGTGGAACGACAGCATCCTGAGGACGAAAGTTCCCGGACTGATCTACATCCCACGGCCCTGCACCGTCTACACGCTCCACCTCCACCAGATGAGCCACATATGACGGAGCGACTCGTTCAACAACCGCGCCCTCCCGCCGTGTTCACGGCCAGTTACTGCACCGCTAATGCGACAAAACGTCTGAGGAACCAGAGGCTGCGGTTAGAAGGAGAAGACTGAGGATGTGTCGCAGAATCACAGGAACGCCACGATGAAAGTGTTCATGGTTTTCACTGGTTATTAGAAACACAGCCTCACAGCATCCACACTTTCCCACCTGTTTATTACTGAAAGCAGCTCACAAACCATCAAACACATTCATTCTCCTCAGCTCACGCTCAGAAATGATTTTCCCTCAGAAACATGAAAAATGCAGCTGAAATATATAAAATCAAATGTTTGTTTGTTTAAAGGTGTGTGGATAAAACTGAACCAAGTAAATGTGTCTGAATACCCAAAGTCTCAGTTCTCAGATCTTTTAATTTAACCTTCTTTTTAATTTAATTTGGAGGAGTTGTGCCTCAAAAACATCCTCAATATGTATTAAATTCAGCGGCGCACTCTAATACAACCTCAGTACATGTAGAGAGGCTTCAGGCTCAGAGTGTGGTTTATACGAGCACGATAAAGACGAAGAACAACATCACAGTCATGAGTTATTTCTTATTAAATCATATTTCTCATTCAGTTCAGTTTTATTTATACAAATCACAACAAAAGTCGCCTCAAGGCGCTTCATAGATACAGAGAAAAACCCAACAATCATATGACCCCCTATGAGCAGCACTTTGGCG